TATATTTAAAAATGTATATTAATGCAAAGTACTATAATATGACGGTAAGTCGGGAAGCAAAATATGAAGATTAATCGTACAAGTTTTAATTTTTAATGCTATAATCAATAAGAGAATTTTCTATGAATTTTATATGTGAAGAGGAAAATAAGGGAAAAACCATATATTTTACGACACTGCTGATAGAAGATAAATACGACGTGGTACGTATGATATGACGATGATTGCAACAACGCGTACGTACGAATACGACACGTGCTTGATTACGCAGACTTGCGCTTGCGATCGGCGCGAGATCAGCTGTTAGTTCACACCGCCAATTACGAGTCACGCCACTCTCGAGGTTCTTGTCCCGACTGACACACATGCGCATTGTGTGCCTACCTTTAATCGTCTCACGAGGCACGGTGTTTGACGCCTCATCTCGTTTCGTTTCGCGCAGTCCACATTCCCTGTTAAATACTCGATTAACTCTTGATCTCCACGTGACCGCGTTGTCTGAGCGCGTGCAAGTTACGCAATTTTTACGTTGTGCTGTTTTTAAAGCTGGCGAAATTTTATCAGCATGGCTGATTTCCACATTTATCCCCTATATTCTCAATCTCAATTTTTATGGCTTCAAAAATCCACGTCTCTTACGAGTTTTCAATTAAATATCTTTATATCAAGTCTTTAAGGTTTCAAATTATGAGCCTATTAAAGTCCACGTAAAATCAAATAAATAATATGATTTCATTACATAATATTCTCAACCTCACTGTTAAAAAACTCATCAAAATTCACTGCTCATAATTTAAATCCAATATTATAATACAAAAATTTATTGAAGAATTTGGGTTTCCGTTAATTTAATAAATTCATGGATAAAAAATTCAGTAAATTTTGTAGATAAATAATTAATGCCGCGTATACGTTAATTGTCAAAAAATGCAATTTTCATACGATTGACTTAATATTATTTACGTTGTTTGTAAAGTAGTAGAGTGCCACGGTCCGTTCCCACGCTCGACCTTACTTCAGAGATTGCACAAGGCTACAGGAACAAACTCGCAGGTAAAAATTTACGAAGGTTCGAAGGTATTTCATATCCAGCAGCGCTAACTGATTATCCTCCTGATTTTGACTTTTTTCTCGAATAAATAAATTTGTTTAGATTTACTAATATTGTATAAAACTCGCATTAACATAAGCTATATCAATTATGCGTAGCAAAAAAACAATTTAAGAATTATGACAAAATGTATTATTTTATATAATAAACAAATTTATAGATCGAAAAAAAAATAACGGGTATTATATTAGTACTAGAACAACGAAAACGCGCGCGCCATTTCTCGATTTTATATTAACTTTTAAAACACTTTAGAACTTGCCAAAAATACTTTTTTCCTAATATTAGTGTTATTTTCCTAAGTGTGTAGTATTATTTTCCCTAATATTATTATAGTTTTATTTTCCTAATATTAGTATTATTTTTCCTCAGGTCAGTTCTATTTTTCTCAATATTAGTTTTTAATATTAGTTAATTGAAAAAAAAGAGAAGTCACTGCAGATAATTCCCTCCCAGAAAATTACTACGCGCGGGAGTTTTCAACGCGTAAATAAATAATATAATCAAGTGTACAGCATAATTTTAATTCGCCGAATTTCAATTATGTACATAATTTGAATTCGTCGAATTTTTATTATGAACATAATTTTAATTCGCCGACTTTCTATTATGCACATGATTTTAATTTTTAATTTTTTATTATATACATAATTTTTATTCTTGAATTTCTATTATGTATACCTACATAATTTTAATTCGCCGAATTTCCATCATGTAATAATTGAAATTGTACATAATAGAAATTCGGCCAATTAATATTATGTACATAATAGAAATTTGATGAATTAAAATTATAAATATATAATAAAAATTAAAGAATACAAATTATGTATATAATAGAAATTTGGCAAATCAAAATTTAAAAATAATGGAAATTCAAGAATTAAAATTATGTACACAATAAAAATTCAAGAATAAATTATGATACAATAAAATTATGTACATAATAGAAATTCAATGAATTAAAATTATTTACATAAAAAAAATACGGCAAATTAAAATTATGTGCATAATAGAAATTCAGCAAAATTATGCACATAATAGTATTTCGGTGAATTAAAATTTAATACATAATACAAATTCGATATCAACAAAATTATGTGCATAATAGGAACTCGGCAAATTAAAATAATATTAAGTTTAACCGCAAATTGTAAAATGTTCAAACGACTTGATTGTGATTCAAGCCGCGAAGCAAACTTCGAGTTAACCAACCAGCATCGCAGAAAAGAGGTCTCGATACTTCGATTAAAATTAAATTCACTCATGCCTTTTTTAAAGAAAGGATAAACTTTACAATAGAATGAAAAAAAATAACGCGTATTATATTAGTATAAAAAAATCATTCAATTATTTTGGCAAATTATGACTATTATAAACTTTCGGTCATCATGATATTATTTCACAAGGTTAAAAAAAACCAACAATGTGAGAACTGTTCATCAGCTGATACTCGCGTCAATGACGTCAATGTGCCGACGTATAAAAACTAAACGGACGCTGTCACACGACGTGGGGCTTAATGATTAAAGTTCCTGCGTGCCTAAAGCCCAAACCTATTGTGCGGGGGTTTAGTTTAACAACGTGGGATCGGATACCGACTTTCACATGCTAAAATTAACCGAAGCCGAAGAGCGGCGATTCATAAAAGCCGCCGACAACGGCTTACGTAATATCACGGCGTCAAAACGCAAAAAAGACGATTGAGCTTTATTGACGAATTCACCTTGTCAAAGAGAGGTAGGCCGTCATTTCCGGTCCACGTGTCAGCCTGACCCGACCCGATGTCGTGCGTGTTGGCCCTAATATAATAAAACTCTTCCGATTGGATGGTACCAAAACGCCATTCTGAAGCGCGATGTGTGTGTTTGTTCTTTAAATAACGATTAAAATTATTTTTTAAATACATACCAAGAGATTCCTTATTTGGCGAAAATGCAGAGAAATTTTTACATTTTTTTAGCACTGTGTTTACGTGCAAAATTAGATAAAGAATAAAATAATGACTCATTTATGTATTCAATGAGCGTTATTGCATGCCAATGGTATTTTTTGAGTTGTATGACCGAACGAAGAGTGATCAATATTATGCTCGCTAATAGATATCGAAGGCCTTTATATTTAAAAAATATATATATATTTTGCAAGACAAAAAATCATGCAATACTGATCCCATAGTCGGATTTTCACGGCATTATTATTTCGTTATCATCGTTACTTTTCTTGTATGGTTTTGTATAAAATCTAATATTGCTAAATTAAGTCGTAAGTAATTAATCTTTAAATGCATGTTTATTATTTGATAATTATCAATATTTTATTTTTCTTCCAACGTCGTATTTTATATATTTTATTGTTCAAAGATAGATAAGATGTAATAGCCAATTAAATGCATTTAAAAATTAATTAAAACTCAAGGCATTTTAAAGAAGTAAATTTTATCGAATATCTTCGATAAAATTAAAGTTGCAAATTTATTTAAGGAGATTATTGATATAATCTCTCGAAAAACAATGTTATTATTCCTTCACTTTCACTTGGGTCAGACTATTAAATGCTCATATACTCGCACAACGACCCAACGATCCGAAATGGTCACATATCGATTGAGCTCGTCGTAGGAGTTCTCAAGTCTTAAATATTGTTCGAGGGGGCAATCAAAATCGCAAGGTGGTACTAGTATAAAGGCGTGACACCACTTTTGCAATTCTACGATAATATCGCAAGATTTTCAGTACATTAGTGTGTGCGGCATAAAAAAGATTTCGTGTACGCCACATCTTGTACATATGGAATGAAATGAGAATTTTCCAAAATTGGATGCATTGCAATAAAAAAGAAACGATATTTTGCGATTGTGATAATGAAACACTGCTTGCACAATATAAGCAATCGTGCATTAAGACTCGAATTATTCTCATGCAACAATTTTTGTTCAGACTACGCGGAGTCTTTTGATAAAATTAAATCCATGTTTTTTTATACCTCAGGATTATCATAAAAACAAATGCTTAAAGAAATCAGTTTTTTGAAAATAATTAAAACATTTATAGAATTTAATTTCTTGACATTTGATCGAATATTTTTCTCTCTCAAAAAGCATGCAAATAATTACGCATTCCTTCTAATGTATCCATGGAAAGACATGAGCACGAGGCAATGAATGGACGATCATCATTATTCAAGCTGGATCGATTCTTCCTCCAGCACAGATAAAACTCATTGGAGGAAGTGTTTTTCAGTTCTTTTTTTTAGTGATTCATGATTGAATGAGCAAGCGACTACGAGAAATATGGCGATGATACTTTCCACATGGATACAATTCTCATTTCAACCAAAAATTTATTATATACGATGCCAAGTATGCCACACACATTTTTCTATAGGCACACTCGACTTTTCGTACGAAATCATGATATAAATGCGTATTTTTAAAACCCTGAGCCAGAGTCGTGGAGTGCAAAAATTGATTTTTCATTGATTCCTCACAATTAAAAAAAAATGCAAATTTGATGTACTTTACAAATTATATTATAAAAAACTTATATATCAAATTTATTAAATCAAATATTCATATAGATCTTGCTTATATACATATACAACAATTTTATATTCAATTTATATTATAAGATATATTTAATATAAAATACATATAACGTGTATTTAATTTACTTTTAATAATGTACATTTAATTTATTTAAAATGCATATAATGCATATTTAATTTATTTAAAATGCATATAATGTATATTTAATTTAATATATATTTTCTATTAATTTTATGTATTTTCATTGTGGAAAATAAATCATGACTTGATTTGAAACAAATGCTCGAGATTCACACGACTCCGGTCAGAGGTTAATGTAAAAGCTACACGAGAGAGACTTACCTTTGACAGCTTCTCGCCTTCGTGATGCGGCAGCAGAGTCCTAAGCGACTGGAATCCAGCGTTGATGCTCTGCATACGACGTCGCTCGTTGCTGTTGGCGATTTCTCGCCGTATTCGCTTCTCCTGCTCCATGTGGCTGCGCGGCGTGACACGGCCGACGTTGCTGATACTGTTGCCGTTGCTCAAAGCAGCGTTATGATTATTAACCCGTCGGCCAATTCCGACGTTAGCTTTAGATTGCGGCGGTTGTTGCGTTTGCTGCTCTTGCGTATCAGCGACTTCGGCGACCGTCACACTAGTAGTCACCGAGCCGTCGTCCACCGTCTCAACGCTCCTGCAACAAATAAATTATAAAACATATAAGTGGGATTTTTCTTTGCATAAATCAAAAATTTTATAATTACGCTGGATTAATAAATTACACGATCAAATCTTATTAGTATGACATACAAAAGGAATGTGTAATGTTATTTAAAATTATTTTATTTTGATTACTATCGAATCTAGATATTTATTGCATTTTTTTGCATAGAATTATATTATATGCATTAAATTTTTGTAGACTATTGTGTCAACCGAGCATCGGAGATTTGTTGCAAGTATCATAAACTTCACACATGTAATCATATGAAACGCTGATGTTTAAATCTTTAAATACTTCAAACTGTGATCCTTGAACTCTTGGATCTTTGCAGATTTAAGCGTCAAATTATTTTAATTACTTCATGTCGCCAGCTGCGCGTATATCATCTCGTTATAAAAGAAAAAAAAAGACATTTCCGTTGAGCGATAAATGCGCGCGGTCAAAGTATTTTAGTACAAATCAAAGAGATAGGAGCTGTGAAATCGAAGCGACGCGAGCGAGAAAGGACATTAATACATATACATGCGTATATCCGTTTGACACGCAGCGCGCAACGTCTCGCCGAGTTTTCTGCCGCAGTTGAGGTCGTGCGTCACGTATAATGTGTATAGCGCGCGAAAGCTTTCAAGAAAATTGAAAGCAAAGTGGCCTTTCCTTCTTTCTCCCTTCCTTTTGTTTTCATTTCGCCGAACGCGTGCAGCTTGTTTACGACGACGGACTTATAGATGGTTGAATTCGCGGGCAATGAAGCGAGACGTCATTGATGCTTCTCGGCGGCAGCTTCAAAGACTTGCTCGCGTATTTTCAACTCGCATGTCTGCACACCTTAGTTTCGAGTCCCAAGATGTACGTCGCTTTATTTAAAATATGCTATTTGTTTATGCTCTTTAAATCGTTTTGTTATTACTTGTCATCCGAATATATTGTTTATACTGTTCTCCTTATTTTACAATTTTATCTTTGTATATATGAACTGATGTGTCAACTTTGAAAAATTCAAAAATAAACTTCACAATTATTATCAATTTCTGATAATTTATCATTTATAGTGATTAATGTTTTCTTTGTGAAATAAGTTTTATATACATACTCTGTTTTCTATATGAAACGATTGATTTGTGTGTCGCGAGAGAATAAAGGATAATGGATTATCTTGACCTTGTTTCGTCTGGAAAATAAATACATACATATAATCTTTTTAGATTAATAAATTATTGTTATATTTTAAAGCGCGAGTCTCTTTGGAATTTATTATAGAAACGATTTCAATATAATTCAAAATGCCTGTGTAATTTAAAAGCTTTGTACTATATAATAAATGTGAAATTAAACTATAATGTCGTGAATTAAATATTTAATTTAATGCTTTTTCTAAACATAATTTTTAACGTTGATTCACATAATATTTATTAATTGCGAAATATTAATAAATATTATTGATTATCCTCTTTTAAACATTAAAAAACAAATATACGCGCACGTGTATTAAAAATTTTAAAAAGATATATTTATATATATAGCCTCGTAAATTTTAACGATTTACATTACATATAAAAGAAAATAGTACGTGTAAATATAACATATTGCATATAAAATTACACATTATATATAAATATATATAATTTCATATATATTAATTTTAAATCTTGCCACGTTTTAGTAGACATTTCCATCTCTAATTTCGTGTTTATAGCGCATGCTGCGCGTAACATGCCTTCATAGGTCGTCACGCAAATAATGGGGGCATAATAACGCACGTACGCTATCGGGAGATCGCGAATGGGTCTCATCATAATGTAAAGGTCAACTGTAAGCACGCTATAAGGTGGTGTAAACATCAATTTTAGTTAAAGAGCGAGTATAAAATATTTAGCGCTGTCAACATCAAGAGATTCTTTTCATATTTACTGCGCTAAAGATAATCACGATTATAGATAAAAGTAATAAATGTCTTCAGAGTTTAACAAACATTTCAGAAGCTCATATCATATATAAAAAAATATCATATATAATTTTAGAAGCTTACGTAACACACAAGATTTACATAATCATCAAGATTACATATAAATAAAATTTTACCAACTTTTTTCAAAACAGTTAAATAAAATTTGTTAAATATAATGATGTTCTTCAAATGTAAACGGTTCTGTTTTACTAATGCTTACTAAATAATGTCGAGAATTAATTAAATCATATCTAAAATATGAAAAGATTTTAAAGAAATTAATTATTAATACCTATAAATACCGTTATATTGATGTATATCCTACACCTTATTCATTCTAAAAATAATTTTTGCATGTAACTTGATGCAAGAAGATTCATTTCTTAAATTCATCGAAGTCATGCACTTATATTTGATTACATAGTTAAGTCCACTTCGGTAAACTTAGAAATGAGTTGGCAAAGTCTTTAATAATGCAGTGCTTATTCTGTGATATTGTAGACTAAGTTGTAGGTAAAGTTGGTGAAAGAGGAAATAGCAAACAGCTGAGAAAATTATATGTTAACGAGTGGCAATAAGGAAAGCAATGGGGAAGAGAGTTAAGAGGAGGGGAAAGATCGAGATGGCGGATATACCGCTCTAAGGATGACTCAGCAAGGAGGACCGTGACCTTGCTCCTTGCTCCGAAATGCCACGTGTCGATAATGCGAACGAATGTGAAAGCTGTTCACCAAAAATTATTACGGAATCGTTTTTGTGTGACATGTACTTAAATAATATAAAAGTTTCACTCCACCTAATAAAGATACTATCTAATAGAACGCCTCTCTAAAAATATTACATTTATATTCAAATTTGATTATCCTGGATGTGAATTAAATTTAAATCAAATTAATTTGGACTGATAAAAATAAGAGTATATATGTATAACATTTGCAGAGATAAATAAAATTTATAATATAATATTATTAAATTATCGACGCAATTAATGTTTACAACATATGAATTTCTTTCTTGTTCGAGGAATGTATTAGCAAAGAACTATAAAAGTACGTAAAAATAGCAGGAGTGTCTTTAAATCTTACGATGCTTTATTGACCACTTGTCACGTGTCCAGTAATTTTCTTTGACTGAAATATTAACAGTTACTCATTTGAAGATGTCACTCAAATACCGCATAAGCACGACCAAATGTACAAAAGCATAATCGTACATCATGCGCGATGCAATAACCCATGTCACGATCGTCTATCAAAGCACAATGGCCAAAGTGTGTTGTAATGTAGCATTATTCACATTCTAACTCTCTCTGGCATATCACCTATTTCCCAATCTTAAAAAAACGAATAATTTTCCACAATGTTGTAATGCGTCGGTTATTTATAAATTAAACCGCACATAATGTCGGTGACACAATCAGACATTTTATAATTGATAAAGTCATTCATCTACACATTCGATATTAATTTCAACATTATATTGTCTGTCGTCATCGTCACAATTGTCTCGTACAATAGCAGTCGGATTCTATATACTGTCATTCTAATATTACAATAAATCACGTTCCATTATAGTTTTGTTTCGTCTTTTTTTCGAAACGATCGTCTTTTCTCGCGGTATAAACGCAGCTCAACTATTCAGAGTAACGAGTAACACATACGAGGATTGAATCAGGCCGCGGCATTCATCGGCAATCATTCATAACGGCACGTGGAGGTCCACAGAACCAGAAATCCACGTGGCGTACTCTCATCGAGTGGTTATATTAGATCAGCTGGTACGCCGGCGGCTTGCTGGCTGGATGGTTGGCTGTCGTGACGTCAGCTCGTTCGTTCGCCGGATACCCACAGAGCGCTCGCTCGGCCAGATCAGTTGCGGCGAAGTAGGTCGACAAAGTGGATAGAACTACCTTCTTTTTCACCCTGAATTCCTACCACTCGTACGAAAAAGAAATACGCACGTTTGCTACAGACAACCCCCCTGGCGAAATATTTTCTCTAAATTATCTCGCTCTCCTTGTATTGTTATTTTAAGATGACCGAGTTTGATGATAATCGTTTAAATATATTTATCTGAATCACACGAGATTAATAATAAGTAAACATTTAATTGTTAACTTTCTTTTATTTTTATTCTTCTAATTTTTTATATTTGTAGGTTTCAAATACAGCTACAGCTGTGATTAACCACGTGCTATCGGTCTGTGCCACAACCGTATGATAACTAGCAGTCGAACCCGAAAGAGATAATTTCTTACAAGGTTACATGATATATATACTACATATGCCGACGAATTATCTGTGATAACAGAGAGTTAAAAAAAAGCAGTAGCTCTTACATATATTATACACGACGTACATACAGTTCAAAAGAATACTAAATAGTCGAAGCAAATTTTTAAAACAATTAATTATTCTTTTTTCCCAAATTTAATTTTGCAGCACATTTCACATTGCCTAAAATCCTATTATAAAAAATTGGTCCAGAAAATATGCCTATTGTATTTTAATACATTTCGAATAAATAATTTTTCTTATCGTGCTCGTGTCTTTATTATAAAATAAAAATTATATTTCCTTGTTGAAATACAGCGAAAAAAATCATTTAATAGTAGAATAAAACAAGTCAACCTCGAACAGTTTTTCTCGCCATACCTATTTCAATCGCAAAAAAAAGTATCATTTTTATTCGGTCAAAAATCGATCGAACATATGGCATCGAGAAGGCAATCTACGTATCACATTCCGCTACATTATATCTGTCGGCAATTATCTGGCGGCAAGCAAATAGTCTTTAAAAGACGATCGATGATCAGCGTGATTATAGTTCTAATTATAAACTCACGCGTTTTAATATTAAGCAACACCGATAGAAGACGAAGAACGCAAAAGCAGAGGGAAACAAAAAAAAGCAAAAGGAATCGAGAAAAGCAATGAATAGTATCTACGCGTCGAATCGCTCGGAGCTATTGTCCAGGTGCAAGATGCACTCGTGGATTTTCGCCTATAGGTAGAAAAGAGAGCAT